GTAGAGATGGGAAATGTTTCCATTCTACCCTTCTAGGTTCTTTGGTAGGTTTAATAATCACATTGCTATAAGACAGATTAATGGAAAAAACACAAAGTTGTATCACATATATGACTTCCCCAGTGACGATGGTAAAGAATCTGTCTATAATGCAGAAGACCTGGTTTCAATCCCTGGTTTAGGAAGATACCTTGGAGAAGGGAATGGCTGCCCACTCCAGTATTCTTGCCTGGAGAATTCCATGTACAGAGGAGCCTGGGGTCTTTTCATTCCATGGGCCTCAAAGAGTCAGATGCAACTAATACATACACATACCTTTTGTATACATGGGGAAGACTCAGGAAAACAGGGTGACTCCTCCCCAGCATGGCAGAAGCCCTCACCTTAAGTATCATCTTTAGCTAAACACAGAAGACATTGAGGGTAGAAGTTTAGTTAAGGGAAGTTAGGTGGCAGAGTGGTAAAGAATCTGCCTACCATTCAAGAGACATGGGTTTGATCCCTGGGTCAATCCCCTGGATTTAATGGAGGACTTAAAAAAATTATATAAGATTATATACTTTATTTATTTAACCAATCAGGGGAATTCCCTGGCAAGCCAGTGGTTAGGAATCTGCTCCCTCACTGTCAAGGGCCTGGGATCAACCTCTAGTTGGAGAACTAAGATCCCACAAGACATGCAGTGAGGCCAAAAGTTAATAATAAATTTTTAAAAGTAAATAAAAATTTAACCAATCATAATTATCAGTACAACCTCAATATGTTTATTCTCTTCTTGAGAAAGAAAAATGTTTTTCTCTGTTCTCTTAGATTTACTAATCAGAGACTTTTGTATTAGACTGACCAAAACCAAAATAAAACAAAACCCAAGGGCTTTCCTGGTGGTCCAGTGGTTAAAAAACTGCCTTGCAAAAAAAAAAAGAAAAAAAAAACACTGCCTTGCAATACAGGGGACATAGGTTCAATCCCTGATCCAGGAAGATCTCATATGTTTCAGAGCAACTAAACCTGTGCACCACTGAAACAGGAATCTGAGTTCTTGTTCATGGAGAAGTTCATGAACATGCAAACCTTCACCCAAGCAGAGTTTATATTAAAGGAGAGAGAAGTATAAAGCTCCCAGAACAGACACTGAGAAGAGGTGACATGACCCCAAAAAGGTGGCTTAAAACTGAACATTCAGAAAAAAAGATCATGGCATACAGTCCCATCACTTCATAGCAAATAGATGGGGGAACAATGGAAATAGTGACAGGCTTTATTTTCTTGGGCTCCAAAATAACTGCAGATGGTGACTGCAGCCATGAAATTAAAAGACACTTGCTCCTTGGAAGAAAAGCCATGCCAAACTAAGATGGGAATCTGAGTTCTTATCTGGAGAATGGAATCCATAAACAGGCAACATTCACAGTAGCAAGCAAATAGGATTTATTAAAGCAGAGGAAAGTACAAAGCTCTCAGCATAGATACTGAGAGGGGATAAAGAGTCCCCTCAAGGTGGGACTTACAGCAGTTTTTACATCCTTCCTTGAATCACAGTATTTCTAACCAGTTAATTTAAAGATAAAGATACTTAACATCTTTATGCCTTCTCTTGATCCTTGGATTAAGTCACCACCCTTTTTCATACCCTCTGGCCATTTTACCATAGATCAAATGTATGGGCTTATGAACCAGAGATAAAATTGCCAAAATCCATTGGATCATCTAATGGATTTTCCAGTAGTCATGTATGAATGTGAGAGTTGGACTATAAAGAAAGCTGAATGCCAATGAATTGATGCTTCTGAACTGTGGAATGATTCTGAGACTCTCAAGAGTCTCTTGGACAGCAAGGAGATCCAACCAGTCCATCCTAAAGGAAATCGGTCCTGAATAGTCACTGGAAGGACTGAGGCTAAAGCTGAAACTCCAATATTCTGGTCACTGGATGTGAAGAACTGACTCATTGGAAAATATCCTGATGTTGGGAAAGATTGAAGGCGGGAGGAGAAGGGGAGGACAGAGGATGAGATGGTTGGATGGAATCATCAACTCAATGGACATGAGTTGGAGTAAACTCTGGGAGTTGGTGATGGACAAGGAAGCTTGGTGAGCTGCAGTCCATGGGGTCACAAAGAGTCAGACATGACTGAGCAACTGAATTAAACTAAACTGATTGGATTATCCAAAAAGCAAGAGAATTCCCGAAAAACAGCTACTTGTCCTTTATTGACTACACCAAAGAGTTTGACTGTGTGGATCAAAACAAACTGTGGAAAATTCTTAAAGAAAAAAAAGTCAGGAAATTGGAACAAAGGGTATAGTTTTAGGTTAATGGAGTGAGATGTTTGTATGAGAGAAAGAGTTGGAATTAAAAAAGAACTGGAGTCTCATCCCTACCATGACAGCCTAGCAATTTCTCAGTCAGTTATTTCAGTCACTCAGTCATGTTTGACTCTTCGACCCCATGAACTGCAACACACCAGGCTTCCCTGTCTATCAACAACTCCTGGAGGGGGCTCAAACTCGTGTCTGTTGAAGCGATGATGCCATCCAACCTTCTCATCCTCTGTCATGCCCTTCTCCTTCCTTCAGTCTTTCTCAGCATCAGGGTCTTTTCCAATGAGTCAGTTCTTTGCATCAGGTGGCCAAAGTATTAGACATCTACCTCACCACAATTATTGAGTCTGTGCTCTAGAGCCTGGGAACCGCAACTGCTGAGACCACATGCAACAACTACTGAAGGCTGAGTGCCCTAGAGCCCATGCTCCACAACTAGAAAGCCCCCTTCTGCAAGGAAGACCCATCACAGCCATAAATAAATAAATATATATATATTTAAAACCCCCAAAACAGATTAACAAGTGAAAAGAATAAAGTATTTTTATATGTGTAAGATAGCAAGCAAATGAAGTTGCTTCCTAAGCAGCTAAAGAATGAGTAGATTTCTAGGGCAGGAGGAGAAGGGGATGACAGAGGATGAGATGGCTGGATGGCATCACTGACTCCATGGACATGAGTTTGAGTAAATTCCGGGAGTTGACAATGGACAGGGAGGCCTAGCATGTGCACTTCATGGGGTCACAAAGAGTCAGACATGACTGAGTGACTGAACTGAACTGAAAGAAAGTTTGTGATGATGTTTGTTTATATAGATTCTAGTGTTTTTCTTCTCTTTGTTTCTATACTCATGGCTATAAAACTCCCAGAGAACAGTTTTATGGAAGCTTCACTTGCAAATGTTTCTGCTTTTAATAAGTTAAAGGAAACACTGAAAAGGCTTCTTTCTGTGTGCGATTGATCTCTAATGTCTTTAATTTAAAACTATTTGTAAATAATAATTTGATAAATTAAACATCAAAGAATACAAGAGTTTTTACCAATCTCATGTTCTGCTGCTTGCCACTTGAAAGCTAATGCTCAAGGGACAGTTGTTGGTAGGAGAAAAAAGATTGCTTTATTTAGGAGTCTGGCAAGCTGGAAGAAGGCAGAGTCGTGTCCAGGAACCAGTGCTAAAGATTCTGCTCCACCATGAAAGTTTTTAAAGGGAGAAAGGGGGAGTTTATCACAGAGAATCATTTGGGGTGGGGATCAGAGTTTTTGTTATTGTCCACTCTGTGCCGTCTTCTTTCTGATTGATTGGTGGTGAGATAACAGGGTGGTATTCTAGGAATCTTCTGCTCACCTGAAGTTACAGTTCTCCACCTGGTGGGGCCATAGTTTCTGCAGAAGAACTCAAAGATATTGTTATATACATTACTTGAGGAGGAACCAGGTTTTACTTTATCACTGCACTATTATTTCTCGATTGCTCCTCCTTTGTTTCTGCATTCCCTCACTCTTCTAGTTAGCAATTGTTTGAATCTCCCTTTGGAACTCAGGGAAGGTCAAAGAAGCTGAATGAAATCTATTTCCTACAAATAAGAAATTGGGAACATGAACAGGATTTGTACCTGGTAGGGCCCCACAAGGTCCTAGTTGGTGTCAGAGTCATAAAGTTATTGCATTCCAGAAAGGTTGCACTTGCGAAATTGCATTAATAGAGCTTCTGCTTCCCAAGATCTTACCAAAGAACACTTTGCAATCCATAGAAATTGGAAAAACAAAACAGACAATAAAATAAAATGGAATCCATGTTCTCTGGCAATATTGTGGTTAGTAGAAAAGAGGAAAAAATGGAAATGTAATTCCCATTTCTGATACAAGGATACTCTTCTCAGAAATTGTAGTTTTTAGTGTCTCAAAGAATAAAGAAATGAAACAATTGTCATTTATAAACTTGGAAACAAGTTATTTTAGTGATGCCAGATGGCTACATGGAGAGAAGGAAGGCTCTCAAAATATTACACTTTGTGACAAGCAATCTTATGTGAAACATACAAATACATTTTTCCAATGAGTGTATAGCAGATCTTCTTTCCTTTCTTTTATTCACCTCTTCATTTAATTTTTCTTCTTTTTCTCTCTCTCCCCCACCTTTTTTTTTTTAATAAGCAACATTTATTTCATAAACTTAAATTTCTTGAAGCATCATAAAAAAATAAAATAAAATACTGGGGTGGGGGCAGGAGTGAAGGAATCGAGAGTCATCTTGATTGCTAACTTGTTTGTTAACTGTTTTCTCGAAGAGAAGTAAACATTTACGTATCTTCATGATGGAAGATGGTTTCACAACTTGGAGAAAACCTTCATGGAAGTTAGGCTCCTACCCTCCTACAGGGACTGGGAGATATGAATAGAAGCTCTATCTTCCTTGATTGTTACATTTCAAAGGGATAATTCTTAAATCCTGGAAAGAGTCCTGGGTATAAAACTGTTAAAAAGTTTGAGCTGGAAGAAGGTTGACATCTCAAAGGGTCAGAGTAAATATTTACAAATGCAAGTTTTCTAAAGTAAATGCTCTATGAAAAGGGAGGTCAGATGCCTACAGTCAGGAACAAATGTGTCTATGGTGTCATCAGACTGGAGGGAACACTGAGTACATCTTATGTTCTTTTTCTTTTTTGCTGCTCTCACAGGACCGTGCACAAAACCTAAATGAACGGCGAACCACCACCACCACCCTCACAGTGGACGTTCTGGATGGAGATGACCTGGGTCCAATGTTTCTTCCATGTGTCCTCGTGCCAAACACTCGTGACTGTCGCCCACTCACCTATCAAGCTGCCATACCTGAGCTGAGAACTCCAGTAAGCATACTCTCATCTTTTCCTCTTCACTTCCACCTCTGTGACCCCAATGAGATCCTGTTCAAATATTTTGAACACATATGTGGTGAAAATAGTATGCTTTTCTAGATGGATATTGGAAAATAGTTTATGTCCGAAACCATTTTGAGACAGTATGGGTAAATTTTTGGTCATAATGTCTAATTATATCATTGAAGGAATGTCATGAAGCAACATGGCAGAGGAAGAAATGGCTGGATAGCATCACCAACTTAATGGACATGAATTTGTGCAGACTCCAGGAAATAGTGAAGGACAGGGAAGTCTAGTATGCTTCAGTCCATGGGGTTTCTCTAGTCATGAATACTGGAGTGAGTTGCCATTTCCTGCTCCATAGGATCTTCCCAACCCAGGGATTGGACCTTTGTCTCTTGTGTCTCCTGCTTTGGCAGGCAGATTTTTTACCACTGTGCCACCTGGTAAGCCCAATAGATATCCCACTTAGGCTAAAATATCAGTTTCTTCCTTAAATGTAAAAAAAAAAAAAAAAAATCTCTTTTAGAGCAGTCAAATTCCTAGGAGTCAACTATTCGATTAGTTTTTGCTGTTCCTATGAAAAGTATTTAGGCTTCTGGGTTAGTAATATGGCTAGTGATATCAGAATTTGTTGTGAGATATTTGATTTTTTTTCTGACATTTGAGAAGTGCAGTTTGAAGGATCTTCTCTGTAGTTTAACTTGTTTTCTTTTTTTTAAAGTATAGAACACAGATTACTTCTAAGTGTAAATTAGATTACATTCCAGTCACTTTAAATAGTTCTTACCAAATATTTTACCAATTACTTGATCCAATATATTACCCACTTGCTTTACTAGCAATAGCTCTTAAATGGTTGAAAACCACTTTTGTGTTTGCTGGAATAAATGATTGATTACTGGTCTAGTTGGTTTACATGAAAAAAAAAAAAAACCTAAAAAATGGATAAACCTTATGATGTGCACTGAGTGAAGAAAATAACATTATTTTTAAGCTGAATGGAGGAATTTTGCAGACAGAAAGGCTAATGGAAAGTTTGTGTAGACAAGCATTTATAGGTTACCTAAAGTTGTAGGTCATGATATTATTTTGTTGAATATTAGTGAGAAGACTTAATGATGTGAACATTGAACTTTTCTTTGAAAGGCTTAATTGAAATCATGACAAAAATATTTTTAGTATTAATCTATTTTTCTGAGCTAATTTAAGTAGCTGGTGTATCAATGAGATCCCAAGAGAAGGGGAATACTGACCTAATAAGACTAAAATCAATGAACCAGTGTGATGAATGTTTAACAGTACTTGATGTAATGAGAGAAGTAAAGACAGAGGTTACTGCTTGAGAAGCAAAGTGTATTGACTTTCTAAGGATCTTTGAGCATCATTTCCTCTTTGCTCCAGCTTATAGACTAAGCATCTCTAATTCCTATGCCATTTCACGCTAGAGATAAAGCCATGTTCCAGATTTGTGATAAATGATAATAATGACTAATGACTATTTAGATTGTTCAGTTTGTCATGAACTGTGCTAAATTCTGCAAACATGTGAACTTAAATCCTTTCAGATAGTTACCACTGTAATGGTCATTTTATAAAGGAGATCTCTGGGATACAGAATTTAAGTGACTTAGCTTTATATAGCTAATAAATTAACAGTATTTTCTTTTGAAATCATATATCTTGAATTAAAGCATATTCTATAAATCACAGAATGACCAAACCTTGTTCTTCATCATTGTTTTTAACAGATCAATCCGTTCTTGAACATTCTGTGAAACAAGAAGTTTAGTTTTACAGATTTAAATACTTATAGCAAATATTTATTCATCAAACATTATATTTTTCTTGGCATGTAGAAAAAATTAGATATGTTTACTTGCAAAATTAGGCACTTATTCTGGTTATTGATCACTGCATAACAAAGCACCAAAATTTAGTGGCTGCAAATTGCAATCTTTAAATTTGTTCATAAAACCACAATTCTGGCAAACCTGAGGGATTACCTCATTCCTGCTCTACACAGCATCAGCTAGGACATTTTGGCTAAGGGCTGTGTGTGTGTGTGTTTTCTATCATTTTAGTCATGTCTGAGTCTTTGCAACACTATGAACTGTAGGCCACCAGGCTCATCTGTCCATGGGATTCTCCAGGCAAGTTTGCTGAAGTGGGTTACCATGCCCTCCTCCAGGGGATCTTCCTGAGCCAGGGATTGAACCCACATCACTTATGTCTCCTACATTGATAGTCAGGTTCTTCATTGCTAGCACCATCTGGGAAGGCCAAGGGCTGGGTATCACTTTCCAAATAGTAAACTTAGCAAGTTGATTCTAGCTGTGGGCTCCAGCTCAGTGAGGGCTGTGAGCTGGAGGCTTCATTTTCACTCCATGTAGGTTTTTCCTGGGTTATTTGAGCTTCCTCACATCAAGGTGCTGGCTTCTAAGAAGAAGCTTCCCAAAACAATTAGACAGAATGTTTATGAACTAGACTTGTAATTTGCAGGGTCACTTCTGCTGTAGTCAAAGCTCTGCCAGATTCAGGTAGTAGAAGTATATGCTATGTTCTAATGGGAAGACTGTAGAAGTCATCCTGTACAAAGAACATAAGGGAAAGGGCATTTTACTGTCACCATCATAGGAAAACAAAATCAGCTATAGTAATGGCATCAGGTTTCATGTGCTCTTTTATATGCCATTTTGGATCCACTCTGGATCCCTAGGGTCAAGAAGTGTAGCTAGTTTTTAAGCTTCACATTCAAATTGCCAAGTTTATGTCTGTATTTTTGTCTTTCTTCTTCTTCTTTTTTTCCTATTTTTCTTTGCTATTTCCATGTTGTGCTAAAATTTCTAGAATTTCAATAAATAAGATCTTATATACAGAGCAAGAGGACTAACTATTTATGTCAGCTAAACAGGACATGATGACTCTAATTACATGCTTGCTGTTCCTTTCCTGAACTAATTCTTCAAATTTTGAAAGCTTGACACCTGCTTACCTTCTGGGTTGAGTGAAATTTTCTAATTTTCTCAGTGGTATTCCTGACTTGAGAAACCATCCTTAGTTCTACTACCATGCATGCAGATTTTATCAGCTCAGAAAAAATTTAAAAGGTAGTCTAGTACAGTGTTTATACCATGAACAAAGATATAATAAAAAATAATATGAATTTGATGTCTCAGGGGCACTAAAGCAATTTGTAGCCCTGAGTTAGTTATGGTATATTTATTAATTAGGTAAATAGCCACTGAACCCTGTTCTGTTTAGTCACTAAGTTGTGCCCAACTCTTTTGGTACTCCATGGACGGTAGCCTGCCAGGCTCCTCAGTCTATGGGACTTCCCGGGTAAGAATACTGGATTGAATTGCCATTTCCTTCTCCAGAGGATCTTCCTAACCCAGGGGCTGAACCCATGTTGCGTGCACGAGCAAGCAGATGCTTTCTGATGGTGACCCAGTATATGCTAAACTCTATTTTAATAGAGAAGACGTAAACGTGGATGAGATAAAATTCTTCTCATAGTATACATTTATTCTTATTTTCTGAATCTCTTAAAGTTGTTATGCCTATGTGGTTGACGATTTCTAGTATTATGGAAAACTGCAGAATTTGTAGAGTGTAGGGTCATGGCTCAATGTCTCGATTTTTTATTAAAGACAAAGACAGTAAATCCTTACATATTTTTTTTCAGTGTTGAACAGTTGCATGGACTTTGGCTAGTTGGATTTATTGCTGAGGAAATTGTCCCTGGTTCAGTTCAGTTCATTCAGTTCGATCGCTCAGGCATGTGCTACTCTTTGCAACCCCATGGATTGCAGCATGCCAGGCCTCCCTGTCCATCACCAACTCCTGGAGTTTACCAAACTCATGGCCATTGAGTTGGTGATGCCATCCAACCGTCTCATTCTCTGTTGTCCCCTTCTCCTCCTGCCTTCAATCTTTTCCAGCATGAAGGTCTTTTCAAATGAGTCAGTTCTTTGCATCAGGTGGTCAAAGTATTGGAGTTTCAGCTGCAGCCTCAGTCCTTCCAATGAATATTCAGGACTGATTTCCTTTAGGATGGACTGGTTGGATCTCCTTGCAGTCCAAGGGACTCTCAAGAGTCTTCTCCA